TAAAGAGAAGCCAGGGGTTGGGTTTTGAGCACTCAGAAGGCCATTTAGCAGGGCCAGGGCAGGTCCAGCCCAGCCCAAGGTGGTCTGCAGAGTAGCCTGTTGGGATGGGAAGACACCCACTGACAAGGGCCATCCCAGTGACACCAGAGCGTGGCTCCTGAAGAGGTGCGTAATGTGCCTCCAAGACACATGTTGAGCCAAGAGCCACAGAGATGCAGCTGTGCCCAGAAGGGAAGTGTCCATTTAGGAACAGCCCACATGGGGTCCTTCAGTCCTGTGGCCCCAGACAGAGGCTAGTTTTGGAAAGGCGGTTTAGGGAGGCCCTTTGGAAAGCACAACCCATTTTTTCTCCTGGTCTGGAAGCAGGCTCGGCCCCTAGAGCAAGAACCAGTTTGAGGGCCACCTAAGGTGGGGAATTGATCCCTGTATGTCTGGTTGGATTCTGAGTCTAAGCATGGGTAGGGTTTCTGACGTCTCAGATCCCCTCTTGGGAGGGAGATGCCTGGATAAGGTGGCAGCTATGAGGAAATCAAGGCTGGATAGTGCCCAGGAAGTACAGGGGAATCATGGTTAAGCCCGAGGCATCCTACCCCCCCTGCCCAGTGCCCTTGCTATTGCTCTGCTTCAGGAAAGACTACCCTTATGAGCCAGGTTGGATAGAAGTGGGTCAGAGCTTTGGGAATGCAGACAAACCACCCAGAAGCTCCCTACCCCCATCACTCTGCATGCCCCACTCCCAGCATCCTTCATGCTGAACACTTAGGGCTTCCCCAATGTGATCAGGAAGAGCCACTGGTGAGGTAGGCAGCGAGGAGAGGGATGGGGGCAGGGACGCTAGATGAGCATGCACTGGCAGGATGGAGATTCCTCATGGGGAAGACACTGGGACACGCCACACCAGGCCAGCATGGAGGATGTAGAATTTCCACAAACACACCCTCTTCTCACCTTCCTGGCAGAACTGCTTAAGGTTGAAAGGGGGAAACACCCCTTGCAAACTGGTTGCTGCAAGCATAGCCATAAACTCCAACATGTGTGTATATCCCTGGGACCCGCATCCATCCTTGTGGGTAGACCAACTTCACCTGGTGTAAATGCCAAAGAGGAGGGGATGAAGGAAGATTCTAGAATTCCCTCCCTGGGGCCTTAGCTCCCAATGTCCAGACTTCAGGGGTGTCATGAATGACGGTGAATTGTAAGAAGTACCCACAAGTCCCCTTGCTCAAGGAGACTCAGTACCTTCCAAATGGCAAAGGGAGGGGAAGCAGTGAGGTGAAAAGGGATGACACTCACAGGAGAGGAAAGACAGAAATGAGGAGCCAGTCCCCCAGAGAGACCAAGACCTCAAAAGACATGCACGGTTCTGCTGCACTTCAGAGCTGTGTGCAAAGATGCCGGATCATGACAGGTTTGGGTTGGGGCCAGATGGATGCGGACATTGCCCAGGGGACAAGCTTCTATCCCCGCCCCACTCCCAACTCAACCTGGTAGCTTCACTCAGCTGGCACTCAGTTCTGTCTCCCCATCCTGTCTCCCCAGCTAGTGCGGCAGGAACCACCACACAGAGACCAAAGCAGCTGAGGGGCGCGCCACAGCTGGGTGCCTGGCTCCCACTTGCCAAGGTGAGAGGAGAGCAGAAGCGGTGCACACATAGTAGACACACACACACACAAACACAGTCCGGCCCTGC